GTGTTAAGTATCACTAAATAACAAAAAATACGTCTATGTTTTTTCCCCACTAGGAACTATGATACTGTGGGGAAGGGAAAGGAAAAAAAGAGAGAGACAGAGAAAGCTAGAGAGGGGGGGAAGGGGGGAGGAAAGAAAATCTGCAATTTAAGACAATCAAAGGATAAGAAAAAAAAGGCAGGCAATATTCTTGCAGGCGATGAGCGACAGGAACATCACAATATGTTGACGTAAGTGGGGGAGCCATCTGTTGTGATACGCACTTCTTTCAACATTGGAATATTAAAGTTCTATGTCCATTATCAAGAAGCAAAATTATTCATCAGATGTAATATTTAACTCCAGGAGGAAACTGCTAAAAACTACCCAACTTCCTAAACATTTTTACAAACTAAAAAAATTCAGAACTTTCACTAACAAACTTCTGATTTTGCCAATACTATTGCAGAAGCATGAAAAATTCTATTCTGATCTAACTTGAGAAAGTTCACAGGGTAAATTCCCTTGAATACCATATGACTCAAGAAATCAGTTATATAAAAATGGCAAGACCCAGAAGCTGCCGAAAAAGGAATGCATTGAACTCCAAAATCCATGGATAACTCTTAAATGGAGAAAGAAGTGATTATTAATTCCTTAAGCCACTTTTAATAAACAGAACACTAGGCCAATATGAGTCTCCTTTTTAGACAGAAATCAACATGCTAAGGTTTGTCCCCTACCAAACACTGTGCAGTGGAGACGTGGGCTAAAGTACAAAACTCTGAGATGGGCTCTGTTAGGGTCCTCAGTTTGGATATCTTGTAGGAGCAGGCTCCTTACATCCAAAAGCCAATGATAGGCCTCAAGTTAAAACCGAAGACAACAATAACTCGATATTATAAGTACAACTTCTGCAATCTTTATTAGGTTAGGTAGCCCTAATTCAGACAAATAACCCTTTCTGCTATAAAGTCAAGATCTAATAAGCTTTTCCATCCCTTCTTCTTGGGGTGTGTGTGTGTGTGTATATATATACCTCCTTGCACTCCATCTTCTTATTGTTTCCTCTAATTTCACCAATTCCAATTTCACATTTCAGAACCTAGTCTTGTCAAACCTAGAAATAAGAACTTCAAATACCGATTAAATATTTTACCTAAATTACATGAGATCTTGCCTATGACGGCTGCTGCATGAAAGATCGCATTTTGCTCTATAATGAACCTCAGCTAAATGCATCTCTAAAATCGACAAACATATCATAGGAAATACTCCAAACATTGACAATTTATATGCTTGAATATTTCCCAATATTTTAATTTCTTCCATGCACGACCAATTTCGACCAAAGACCCACAAAACGGTCAATTAATCATTCGTAAGATCAAGCCAAATATACCAAACAGACTTAAATTTGCCCGTCCGAAACAACTTAACTGCATTTTAAATTTCACAACGATCTTTGGCATCCCAACGGCTAATAAATTAATTCACAAATACATCTTCCACGTATAACCAATTTCCCGCAAAAAGATCCCGTTTTGCTGCAAAATGCAGCTCAATCCAGCAGACTTACTTCAACTCAAATGATAAAACTATCCCATTCAAAATCACTCATTCACATTCAAATTTTCTCAACAAATTTCCACAACTCAATTGACTAACAATCAATCCCCATGCAACATTTCCCCAATGTAGCATACAAAATCCGAAACTTTAAACTCAGAATTTGATCAGAAAAAAGTAAACTTACAAATTGAAAAGGTAGAGTAATGGAGCGGCGTTCATCAATAAACACGTTTCGAACATGGGGAAACCGGCTGGATAGCATCTTGACGAGGCCGTCGGGGCTACCGGACGCGCCGATGCGAATTGTATCGCGGCTGAGCCGCTCGAGGCCAAGCCATCTCTTGCAGACGAGCGAGGCTGCGTCGCGGCTCGGCTTCGTATCTAAGTAACGGAAGATCTCGAGGATTAGCTCATCTGGTAAACTGGAATTTATCCGATCATGGCCCTTCATTTATTAAATTATTACTACTTAAATTATTGTTAATTGGATTTTATTCGACAGTTTTCTGATAGGAAATTTGAATTTATTTACGGAAACAGGAGAAAGAGTGAGAAAGAAGAGAGTCTCTGTCCGTTAAGGAGTAATCAGCTTTGGGCGCCCGCGGTGGAGAGGGCGGGGCGGTCAAGTAGGAGGCAGTCGGCCGATAGCTGTGATTTGTCCTTTTCACCCCCTTTCTGCGTGTAAATACTTCTTGTAATTTTTGATTTTTCTAATGAAAACATTCCGCGAGCGATATTTTCCTGGTGTCCATTGTATATTAATTACTCCTCTTTTGTCTCTCCTTAATTAAATATTTGTTGCTAGGATTCCTCACCCTTCTTTCTACTGTTCGCATTGCTCTCTCTTTTCACTCACACATTAACATAAGAAGAAGAAGAGTTTTTCTAACATGCAACATGCCTTTTTCCTTTTTTTGAATTCTACTTGTTTATCATGCCTTTAAGCAACCAATACCAATGCAACTTTACCATCGTTTTCTCTTTGGTACTTGTCATGTAAATCTTCACTTTTATATTTTATCAAGTATTCATATTTATCATGTAAAACTTGATTTCTATCAAGTATTCGTATTCTCTAATAATTAGATGAAAAATAAGTTTTAATTACATTACGTTATATATCCCATGAATATTGAAGGGAAAGTATGGCTATTTTTTGGTATTATTCTTATTTTAAAATTTTATTTATTTTGACTTACAGTACATTGTGTTCGACTGAGAACTTAATCACACCCTAATTTAATGTATATATTTGCATTTATTGCACTAATTCATTTAGACACAATCTAGAATCAACTTTATTCTTACAAAAAAGATATCCATTAACCAATCCCATTTATTAAGTTAGATTTCTCCAATGATGTTTACTAGACATTCATTAATACATCTAATTTATTATCAAATTTACTTACCATATAAATATTATCCAAAAAATATATTTACTATGTATATGTACATACTCGTATTTGTTGCACCTCTTACATTTAGATATTTTTCCAAATTAATCACACTTTTATCAAAAAAAAAAAATTAACATCTAATGCCCATAGAATGCCCAATGGCACTTCTTAGCCAAATGCTATTAAATTTGAGTCCTGTTATGCAGTAACCTCGGTCATTTTTTTAAAAATATAATATTGCTCGTTACTTTTCCATCATAATGTAATAAGGTCGTTTTTTCTTTTCATCCATCTCAAATTATAGTCGACATTTTAATTAAAATATATTTTTAATTTTTTTAAAATATCCTGATTTAATGTACTTTGTTATGAGTGAGTATAACCTACCTTGTTCAATAATTGCTTTGATTCATAAATTGAGTGGTGCAACTCTTGATCAATATTGTTGTTGTAATTGATATAAATGTATAATAATTCGTCATACTTCTAATATTAAAATAAGGATATTTTAGAAAAATAGTATGTTAGATTTACACTTTCAATAAAATTAACTAATTTTGCTCAAAATATGTGAAAAAAAATCGAGATTAACAAAGCGGGACAAAGGAATACTTAGTTTATCCTTATATAATGATAAAATGGTCCAAATCACCATTTAGAGCTATCTATAAATGAATCATACCAATGCCAAAGGTCTAGCCTAGGGGGTCTCTTTCCGCTGACCTCTTGGATAACCTTAATTAGAGTAGGGTAGAATTGGTCACATATGCTGGCTGTTAGGGAAAAAGTATAAAAATCCCTTTGTATTTCTCCGATTCTTCATAGAAAATTAAGGTCTATTTAGAAGATGCATTTTTTGGGTGTTCATATAAAACTTTACTATATTTTATTGTAGAAATTGTGGAAAGTTTTTTTTTTAATGTATTTAGGGTTTGAAAAAATTGAAAAACTTTCTTTTTTCCCCTTCTATGTGCCTTTTCCTTTTCTTTCTTTCTTTTCTTTCTTTCATCTTTCTTCTTCTTCCCAACATTTACTCTTTTTCCTCCCCCACAATCGCCATGCCTACCGGCGGCCACCACCTCTGTCGCCGTCCTCTTTTTATCTCTCCCTTCCTCTTTTCTTCCCTCTTTCCCCTTCTTCTCCTCTTTAGCAGGGAAAGAGATGTCGTTGGAGGTATTGACAGGCTGAGGTTGGGAAGGAGGATGAAGAAGAAAGGCAAAAAAGAGAAGGAAAAACTTTGTTGCATTTTGGGATATGTTGAAGTGTTTATTAAAATTTAGGGTATTTTTAGAGGGTTTTCTGTAGACGAAATTGTAAAAAACCAGCCTATTAAAATCCTCCTAAAAAATACCCCTCCCAAGCAAAATCGTAGTTCTTTGCAACAGTTTGAATCCATTTGAATTGCTATTTTTTGAAATTTTGTTGAAAAACGATTTGATGTATAAGGTAGAAGGATGATTGAAAAAAGCAAATCTGTAATTCTATCTGGCAAAAGTTTTCGTTTGAATTGCTATTTTTTGAAATTTTTATAAAAAATATAACTATTTAATATATGTGAGATAAAAAAATGATTGAAAAATGTGTTCACAAAAATATACAATTTTTTGATAGAAAATAGCATCTTGCCTTTCATTTTCTTTCTTGACTTTTACGTTATGTGATTCAAAAAAAAAAAAGACTTTTACGTTATGAAACTTTATGCATCACTAAGAATTAATGAAAATTCCTTTTTTTTAAGGAAAATTCTTTTTTTTTTAATTCTTTTTTACGTTATGAAAATTCCATTGCTTCAAGTGACAACTCCCTAACCCCAAACGTGAAAGAATTACTATTCAAAAAAATAAAATAAAAAAAAAATCTTCTTCCAAACAGGGGACACACGCCGCCTCTGGCCTCTCCTTCCCCAAGCAAACAGATCTTCCCTAAAAATTCTGTTCTTCCATTCTATAAATACCCACACCTACTGCACCGTATTTAGATTACGACTATTTTGATTTCCACAAAAATTCTTTTCATCTCCGCATAAATAATTTAATTTCCTATTTGTTCATGGATATCTTCAGATCAGTATCTGCTGAGGACCCATCTCCGCCTTCATCTCCCAAGACCTCCTCCGATCCGAGCTATAATTCCGAAACTACCCCTTCCTCACCGTCAAATTCCCAATCCCAAAACCCTAACCCTAACCCCCAAATTTCATCCGTCACAACAACGAGCTCCTGGGCAACCTTCGGCTCCTCCTTTTTCAAATCCGTTGCCTCCAAATCTGAATCCGTAATCAGAAATTACCGCAACGATCTCGAGGAATTCAGTTCCGGCTTGAGAAAAGAAACCACCGTCATCCGTGAAGCCGCCAGACGCGCTGTTGAAAACCTTCCCGGTCGGCTCGAATCTGGGGCCGCAGTCGCTCAAACTTCCCTTGAATCTGTCGGCCAAGTGATTGATGACCTCGGTGGAGCTGTTTCCGGGATTATTATTCATGGCAAAGACTCCATTTTTCACCCTAATGATGGTGATTTTGATGCTTCTGATGTTGAATTAGTTGAAAGTGGTGATGGGAATGGCGTAAATAAGCAAAATTTGAAACCTTATAGTAGAATTGATGCATTGATTAGAGCCATGCAATGTGATATAAAGACGTATTGCGAGGAGCCTGAGGAGGTAGGGGAGTATGAGGAGTGGAAAAAGGGCTTTTTGATTGATGAAAAGATTGGTGAGATTGAGGATTTGGTTGACGAAAATGGTGTTATTGGGGAGATTTATGATGAGGTCGTTCCGGGGAAGGTCGATCGCGAGACCTTTTGGAGTAGGTATTTTTATCGAGTTTACAGGGTTAAGAAAGCAGAGGAGGCAAGGGTGAAGCTCGTGAGGAGAGCGATCGAGGGAGAGGATGAGGAGGATTTGAGTTGGGATGTTGATGATGATGAGGAGGATGGGGACAGTGGGTTTAAGTCGAGAGAGGAGTTGAAGAAAGAAATTGAAGAGACCGAGAAGGAATTGGCTAATGGAGATAAGAAGAGATCAAGTGTGTCTGAAGACAGTGTTGAAGGAAGATTGGAGGATGGGAAGTCAGACAGGGGGAGTTCAACAGGGAAGAACGATATTAGTGATTTCTCTTTAGTTTCAAGCCAAAGATCCTCACATGAGGAAGAAGAGATTGGGTGGGATGACATTGAAGATATTGGAAGTGATGATGATACCAAGGTCGCCGCAAGAGGCGGTCCAAATAATGCTGATCTGCAGAAGCTATCGACTGCCGCTGAGAAAGAGGAACAGTTGCCTTGGGATACTGAGGATGATGACGAACCTGCTAGGTCATGATTCATTGATTTTCTGCGCACATACTGAAGGGGCATAATTCTTTTCATTTGCCTCTCTCTCATTCTCCGTACAAATGCAATTGAGTGTCCAGTTTTATGATATATGGCGATGATTTGGTGTTGTACTGCGTCCACATCAAAATGTATATATTATTGTTCTCCTGTTAAACGAAAGTTCAAGTATTATACTTTCATTTAGCAGAAATTCTATCTCTGTTTATTTTTCTGAACCTGTGTTTTTGCACAATTGGCGCTTGTTAACCACTTCGCATTTGTTGCTACAAACAAGCTTGTTGTGTCAGTAAATTGCTAGTTATTCCATTGCGATTGCTGCACCGTTTACTGGATAGGAGAAATGGATTACGGAGGATGGTAAACACTGAATTGTTTTAGTTTTAGTTTTAGTCTTCAGCAAACACTTGACAGCACATCCAAGATACTAGGCAGATCGCTCAATAGTCACAGCTACTGTTCCAAGATAAAATTCTGTGCCTTTCATTTGACGGCATCATCCCCCTTGTATTTTTTTTTCCTAACGATTCATCCCCCTTGTATTGCTTGGCTAATTTTTGAAAGCAACTTTGTTGTTTAACAGCAGGACTTCCAATAACAAATGTTATTTGTCAATGTTTCTCCAACTTCCATGCTTCTTGCTGCTATTCTCAAAGATTATTGAACAATCATGTGCCTGTCACGTACAAAAAGTCTGTTTGGACATAAGCAAGTTCTTGAAATAACCTCAGAGTTAGTTTACTGTAGTAACTATTGCAGAAAGCCCAGAACGCTGCTAAGTTAGGCTGATACCATTTTTTGAGCGAATTCATGAACACAAGAAGGGAGCCGATGGTGAAAGTGAGCATGTAGGAGTTTGGGTCTGTTCTGCTTTGTGTGCGGGGCGAAGCGTTTGGTGTCTTGTCAATAACAAATGTATGTGGCGAAGCGTTTGCTTCAGTGTACTGCAACTGATGTAGGGGGCCCAATCTCTGAATGCAGATTGAGAGGCTGCATTAATTTGGAATTCTGGAGAAACTTACAGGAACTAATGGCTCAAAATTGACCATTGCAGGGTGCCAAGTAATGGTATCATGCCACCATTTTTAAACAGGGTATCTTCCACAAACGTGCCAGTTTCGGTAGGCCAAATAACTCTCTAATTTATTCCTTTTTGGTCAAACATCATTTCTACAAATTTCACTCGTACTTTACGGCATGAAAACATGTAGCGCCTTTTTGATACGACGCTCATTTATTGAGCTTGCACAACACCGCAATCGAATTTGTTTAGACATTTGGATCCAGAAAATGGAGCTTCGAGGGAGATGGTTGTTTAAGTCCAATGTGCAATTAGTGAAAATTATCCCTAGAAAATACAATGCCATCTCCGTGGAACCTTAGAAAATAAGGCAGCGGCTGATATAATATTATCTTTATACATAAAACTTTGCACAAGGGAGTTTCAGAGTTCCCCTGCTGTTAAGTTCAAGATTCGAATCCTGAGCCTGACAGTTGCAAATGCGAGGATTCAAGGAAAAAAAAAATGTCTTACTCTTTTAGGAGGGCATTTAGTATTTAGCAAAAATTACGAACTGCTTAAAACTTTTAGGTCAGAACCACGAGGACAAACAGGAAATAAAATGGTACTATAGCTTGATCCCAAGCAAACTTATATGATCAAGGTCATAACACCTGTACACCTAGTTGTCACCCTGTCTGAGCATTTGCAGGATGGTAAGGAACAGGTTGAGGATGTCCAGGTAAAGGTTGACCGATGCCCAGATATACTCATCATATGTGAAACGCTTGATTAGGTTCTCCGTGTCATAAACTACGTATCCAGAGAAAACTATAGCACCAAATGCACTGAAAACAGCAGTAGAAGTTGATCCCAGTGGGAAGAACATCTGCAAAGTGAAGATAACAGGTATGGTGGGTCAATATGAGATAATAAAATATACACAACATTCACAAGGTGAAGAGCGTGTGTGCACATGCACGTGCGTGGGAGAGAGGGGGACAGAGATAGAACCTGGAGAAAGCTAGTCAGTAGGAGTACTACAAGGCTGGTGAACAAGATTGGTCCAAGGAAACTAAAATCTTTGCCCTTCTTGGCAGCCCAGAAAGTGTATCCAGTCAAGCCTACAACTACGGCTGATGTCAAGATCAGAGCTTCAAGCACAATTCTCCCTGTAAACTCCGCACAAAATGCAATCAGAAACAATTCTCAACCAGTGCCCATAAAAAGGGGGAATGCCATACAGCCAAGAGTTCATGAGCATCCCAAGACAAAGAAACCAGGGTACAGAAGCACATACCATCGGTATTAGCACAGCTTACTCCAACTGTCAGACTTAGAGAAGCAGTAAAAAGCCCAAGGAAAACAAGATTCAGTGGATGCTTTTGCTGATACACGTGCAACGGCCACAAAACTGTGAAGGATTTCCACAACGCATTATTAACAATATTGAAACAAATCAAAAGAATCCAGAGAAAAAAACAGAAGCACTCCTCCTAGATTCCTGCTACATATTGAAGACAAGTAGTAGTTCTTAAGTAGATATTCTTAGTGCTAAGCTTTCCGGTTTATAGACATAGAAAAACAAGCCCTAGGCCAAACTTCAACTACTGTTTCTTAATTCTAAATCACAAGAAAATTGTGAAAGCTCAGCATCAGCAGAAAGATTCATCTGAATAAATACTTATCATAATCATTTAAACCAAACAGGAAAAAAAAAAGAAAAGAAAAAAGAAAACTTGATCATAAAACACAGATATTTTGCTTCTATCCAACAGCAACAACTCAAAATCCTAATTTAAATTTCATTCCAATGATGATTTTGTCACCTAACTAGCCAACGACGCACATCTGTTCTATATATATATATGCATTCCCAGTGGAATTTAAACCCTACAGCTTACAAAAATTCAATTTCACTGACAATCAATGCACATGCATTTTCCCTGCAACAATAATATCATATAAATGCACTATACTATCAGAGCATACCCAAAAGAATAATCAACAACTCGAATTCACTAGATCAAACCCTAATGTTTTCCCATAATTGACAAAAAAAAAAAGGCAAAATGAATAGATAAACTTACGGACGAAGGGGAGAAAGCAGAGGAACAGCAAAAGGATCGAATTGCCGCGGAGAAGTTGGTTGATGGGATCATAAAGCACAATTAAGGCAGAGACGAGGGTGGTGAGGACGATCTGAGCGGCAAGGATGCCGTAGACTTTGCGAATGAATCCCCATCGGAGCTGATTCTCGCCGTAGCCGATCCCAGGGTACAGCAAATCTCCGGCCTCTAGGTCAACCGCATAATCGTCCTTCGTGCTCTTCGCTCCGTACAAGTCCATCTCTCGATTTCTCTCTCTTACTTTCTCTCTCTCTCTAGAACGGTGACAGCTTATCTGTGTCTGTGTCGTTTGCGTGTCAGCCTGTTTTCTTTATGGGTGTCGGTTCTGTGAGGAGGAGGAGGTTGAAGTGGGGAAATTGAGGAGATTCTTGACTTCCTGGAGGGCATTTTGGTCAATGTAAATATAGATCTTTTTTTTATTTTTTTTCGAAATTTGCTTAATCCACCAAGACGCATAAAAAAAAAAAGTCATAAAACAAATTCACAATTTTGATTGCAAAAATAATTATTTTGGCAGACTTTTTCTTTTTCTTTTTTTTTTTTGGATATATAATTATGTTAACCTTATTTTGTGACAAAAAGAGACTCTTCCCCTAGCGCTCTTCGTGATATTTTAGGCACTATATTTGATTTTTATATTGGGGAAATTATTATCTAAGAGTTTATTGGATTTCGAGCGATTGTACAAATTTGAGGGGATATCAAAGTGATTTATTTCTCTCTAAGATAATTTGTAATGGATAATGAATGATTGATTTTTATATTTTTCTTCTTTAGAAATTCACTTATAAGAAGGGACTTTAAATCATAGCATGATGATAAGCAATAGATACAAATAATAATCAAGGCGGATTATCATTATTTAGTTTGCATTATCCTATAACTATTAGTACGTCGTTTGGTATAAAATTTTTCTTTTTTTGTAGTCTATATTAGATTTTTCTTTTTCATTTAATACTTTATTTATTGTATATTAGATTTTTTTTCTTTAACATTTATGTGCATTTGCTTTAGATTTAGGTAGGAGGTTAACATGATGATATTTATCTAATTACAAATGTGGTGTTATGGTTTGTTGCTAAGTAGACATTTGTTGGTTTTATTAAAGAAAAAAAAATAATAGAAGTTGACATTTCATCTGATTTGCCAAGGGAGGAAGTTTCCACTTGGTAGAGTGTAGATTTATAGCGATTGATTGCCTAATAGAATTGGAAGTATTCTCTCACAGGCTTTCCACCAACCTTAAGTTAAGATCCTCGTCTTAGGTCCCTTTCCTGTCGTTGATTGAGTGGAAGAGACTTTTTCCTTTACCAAGGAAGGTCTAATGCCCCTAGAATTTCAAGGGGTATTTACACATCCAGTTATGTATGTTAGTATATAATCTACGAGGACATCATCCAGTCATCAAACGCCCGCAAAAAAGGTTCATAAAGTCCCCACAAAGGCTATTATATTAGACAGAAGAAATGCATTAGCAGAATTTGCCTCGAGAGATCAGAATTGCTATAGCTCAGGGAACCAACTCCAATCTACTGGGAATAGGAGCCAAGGAAAGATGTTTTGACCCTAGCTAGTTTAGTTTGTTTCACTTGTGCTCCTCTGGTTTAGACAATAACGATTTATGTACAAATCTTGGCACTAATAAATATTATTATTATTAGTGATGAGGAGAGAATTCATAATCATTCTTCTCCTCCTCAGTGCAGTGCAGGGTTGAACGAACCAGAATTGTCAGAATAGGACCTGATCCAACCTATAAAGATAGGACGCGGGGCTGGAGCGGTTGTCAGAACAATCGCTCCAGAAGGTGTAACATCATTTGTACAGGGTGTAATAATAGAATAACAACGAATAATACTAGAACAATATTTTTGTGGGTTCCACACGGCGTGAAAATCGAGTTACAAGACGTGATCTGAGCCGCACAAAATTTTGAGACCTCATCCAGACCAAGGCCCCTCATCCATAAAGATAACTCTCTGTTTCGGAAATGAAAAAGGACCTGCATTTAACAGGAAAATCTACGGTACAACAAGGATAGAGAATCAGCCAGCACTCGTATGGATTTACATATAAGCTGCAATTCGGAGGATGTCTATTATCATCTTCACTGACCACCACCACCATTAATAAGAGAAGAAGCTGAAGAGTACAGCACACGACATAAAAATGGCACATGTAAGAACCAACTGAAAACCTTTACTGGTCACTCGATGATTAACTCCACTTTACCAGAGAGGGCTTGCCCCACTAGTTGTTTGTATATCAACCGGCGCCCCTCATTCTTCATCACATAATCTACATGGTCTTGCCATCTAAAATGTTCATTAAAAGTTCCATATTTAGAATAAATACACATTTTTTCAAGTGCTGCAGCAGTTTGCAGCACATAAGAAGCAAATTCTATCTCGTATCTCGTTCCACGAAAACCATCAAATGCCACTCCTTTAAGGTGACTGTGATGCCTACAAGGCCACGTTCCTCCTCTCTGTTCAATGTAACGAGGGGATCTTGCCTGCAACCATTAAAAGATCCATTTAATTTCTACTATTTGCAGATCAACACAAGTATTGTAAACATAATTTTAGGGTACTAATACAAAAAAAAAAACTTTTGGATACGAGCAACCAACCATTCAATAATTATAGCCCTTTCCAACATAATAATAAAACATCAAAAAGCTAATCACAAGAGTGGTCGGTCACCCATATTTTGGATACGCATGAAGAATAAAAGATTCTGAATGTGTCTACCTAAAGATACCAGAAAGACTACTGGCTTAGAGCAAGAAGCCGCTTCAACAAATTTGCACTGCAATGTATACCATCTAAAAGAATTTCAAGTGCATATGCTTCAAAAACACTATCCATTTTGCTACATTTCATGAGGTAATAAGATGAATAGTGGTGTCCTTACGCCAAGAAACATTTGACTACTGTTACCATCAGCTTCAGTCAGATAACCAGCCCTGTTCCCATCATACTCAAGTTTAAAAGCTCCTTTGAAACAATCCCAGACCAGACCAAGAAACCAAATGTCAAAGAGAATGAAACTAACCATAAGATGATTGAGTAATTTTTCTTCTTATTATTATGCCTTTTTAATTACTTGAAACAGAAAGTCCGATTATAAGTATAAAAAAAAAAAAAAAGACTGAGCTTCTGATCCAAAAGTGCCTTTCCAGCCCCTGGTCCAAGAAATTGCCCAGGATTTCAAGGTAAAACTCGACTGGGCACGGTTTTAGATACAAGTACCTAGTTGGTAATTTCGTTGATAACTAATATGGGATGGTTATTCTTTTGCAAAACTGCAGACGGATATAAACCCCCCCCCCCAACCCCTCCGCCTCAGAAAAGGGAAAAAGGAACACAAGAACTTACCAAGAGATGAAGTAGGTCTAAAAGTGGGCAGGCATCAATAATATGAGCAACAGTTTGCAAATCAGCTTGAACCTTGAACGTCATCAACAAGGTTAACATCGTAAGGTTGCTGAACATATTCATCTTAGCAGGCATGTATAGTAGCTGAATCAATGGGAGAAAGAAAAGGCACAGCCATCAGCACAAAAAACAGAATAATGAAGCAGAAGAAAGATTATTCATATGGCATCTGTACAAACCTCATCGGTTTTAGTTTGGACAAGTAATTCTTTTAACCGAGGACAGGACTTTGCAACTTCACCAAACACACAAGGCACCGTACCATTACCATTAAAGCTGAGAGACAACTCTTCCAATTTGGGAACAAACTGGAGTGAGCATCTAATAATTTGATCAGTATAACAGGAAAATAAATAAAGGTTTCCGGCACAAATATCTATCTCCTTCAACCCTGGACAAATTCAATATATAAAGATCTCAATCGGAGACATTGACCAGATATATCTAACTTAGGAGGAACTTTACAGTGCGACACTACCAACCCCTGAAGGTTCAAACAAGAGGATAAAATGATAGGAAATTCTCCATTATCCAAGGGAACCTTTACCAAAGTCAGAAACCGAAGAGAGTTATTATGGCATCTGAAACTTGATTGCAGAACACAATTCATCAATTTCAAGCGGGTCAATGAAGCTGCTTCAAAAAGCAGCTGAAAAGGCAGAGGGAAACCATACTCATCAACACAGTTACAGGAGTGGAAACTGAGCATAAGTTCCCGTACACCTTTTAAGGCATCAGATTGGATCCATCTACTAAAATCAGCTGCAAATTTTTTCCCCAAACAACATGTCAAAGAGAGCCTAGTTATGTTTTGACTGGAATATAGCTGTAAAGAGTGATATACAGCTTTCAAAAACCTAAGCTTATGGCTATGTCTACCATTATGATGATGCCCATTCTCTCCAAACATCCTGTTGCAATCAAAGTCTAGACTAGACCTAAGTTTGCAAATGTTCTTCCACCTTCTTGACAAAATTCTAGTCCGAATAGCTTCAACCAAGTCCAAGTGTGAGAGGATAATTGATAGAATATCATCTGGCAGTTGACTGATTCTATCATCTTGCATGTCACCGTATGCAACCTAATTAGTAAAACACAAGCAAAACACAAAGGTATGTGTTAAAAAGAAAGCAAATTTACCATTTATATTATGATAAAAAAGAAGCACAAAAATATTACATCAACAAACTTTTTCTGATGGTTTCTGGTTCCCCTAGAGAACAATACAGTTGATAACAACTTAACAAGTTATTATAACAAAAGCATTATATGATAAATCTTTTTCCCGAGACAAGAAAATACGTAATGAATATCATTACATATTAGTTGTAGTAAGTTTAAATGGACTGAAATTGCACAATACAGTTACCAGGATAACCCAAGAAAGCCGAAAATACCTTTAAAACGTAGTCTCTTCTCTTCTTTACTACAAAACCTACTTTTCCCCATAGACCACATGATGTTATTGCTATTCCAATGGCAGCCCCAGTCCCTGCCAAGACCAGCAAAGGCCAAGCTTCACGTCCAGACCAGTACATTGCTATTCCTAAATTGCAGGACCTAAAAACAGTGATAGAAGTAAAACTGTCCACTCATCAATACATCGGCATAATTAACATCCAAACCACATAGTTGTATCAACTCTCAACCAAGAAAACAAAAGATCACAAGAAATTGGAATTTCTCCATTTTGACAAGCATATTTATTAAGCTCCGATCAGCCAAAACAAATAAGGAGTAGCATAATGGATTGTCAAAAAATTTCTCCTAGAATCCCATGTTGAAATAAAGAAAGCCCAAACCATACTATCTCACGTGGTACTGAATCTGCCCTATCTTATATAACATTAAAGTTTCCCCCAGCAAGATCACATACATGATGCCCAAAGTTGATTACCAAAACAGAAAGAAAAGAAATATGAGCTGATCTTTTGGATCATTCATTACCCTAACTGATTAGCACCTCAAACAGAATACCGAAAACCAAAATATATAGAAATAGCAAAATTCAATTTCCATATGTTGATTAGCAAAATTGACTAAAATGAACCGGCCACACATCCAAAAATTTAAGGTGGGTTGGGGGGAACTCCTTATATTCCTCGTTGCTAACAAAAATAGTAAGAAAGATGCAATTTTTACAATTTATTTTCCGCTAGCCTCAAGCCAACCAAAGACAGGAACAAAAGCTTCAATTATCAGCCATGCTACCGATAATCCCCAGAACCAAAAAAGAACAATTCACTGCCTATACGTTGATTAGAAGTTAGAACAAGACGATCCCGTAAAAACAAGTTTGGTATGATTCATTGTCAGAGCCATCGAACTCTTATAAACGCACATGTTAGTATCGACCAAAATCTCTTAATGTGACCACCTAAAAATTACTTTATATCATATCCTAGATGTTGACCGGCAACCCCCATCTCCTCTTCTTCTCTCCGAAAAAAAAACCAAAAAAAAACGAAAAACCAAAAAAGGGAATGCAGAAGTTGGAAAAAAAGTTATTTTACGTGGTAAATAAATCCTTTCACTGTTTACAACACAAATACCATCACAAAGATGCAACTTTTACATCTTCCATTACGAACAAAAAAACAAATAAAATCACGAAAGATTTGATTTTTGTGCCAGAAGCAGCACGATGGACAAATCATATATTGGACAAAAGAAGAGAAAAAAAAAGAACCATGAACATTAGAAAGAAAGCATACACATAAAACTCAGCAATCCTTTCAAATAAACTGAAATTTGTGAAGATCTATATTCCAGTCTCCTTGTTTTCGTTATAACTTTGATGTTATTATTATACAATAAATAGGACAGAAAGAGACGGGAATAAACAGAGAGAACAAAGGTGAAGCGGCATAGAAGTCTTCCTAAATCCTAATCCCTCCTGCTTTGCGAAGTTTGGGAGTTTAGGATAGAAAAGAGGTGAAGGGAAAACTTAAGTCACCAGAGAAGAGAAGGGATTATTGTGTTGTTTGGAAGCTTTGAGAATTAGTGGAATGATTTTGGATATAAAAGTTATTAAATATTTGTTCAAAACATTTTTAAGGATAAAATAGATATTTTAAAAAACTTTCATAAGTTTCCTCTAATTTTCTCTCCATTTCTCTCTAATTTGGGAGGAAAACTTTTACTGCCTATTTATTCTCTTAAATCCTTCAATTTATCCTCTTTTCTTTCCTAATAAAAACTAACAAAAGAAGGAAATGTTCAATTTCTCTTCTTTCCCCTTCTTTTTTTTTCCAAATCATCCACTCCCAAACGAACCCTTAGATTAGTTTTCACATTATTAATCACCAATGGAGGAGTATAGGCCTGTAAATTTGGGTATTTTGGTTCAGGTTTTACTCAGCCCGAGACCTGGCCCAAAAAAATTTACGTGCTCGGGGCCTGGCACTTTAAAGTTCAAGCGGAAGCGGAACCTTTCTATATCAGGCTTCGGGCTTTGAACGGGTTTAGCAATTATTCAAGTTTTTTCACCTTTAAAATGTAAAATATTTCATTTTAAAAATCCTAGGAATAAAATGAGCGAACTGCTCTTATGAACACCTCCAGCCTCCACTCTCGATTTAACTGAGGGAAAAACAGTTCCAATGGGTCTCAAATTCTTTTTCAAGTAAAGTTTTAACCCTTCAATAATTAACAATAAACGTTTGACCATCGATCTAATAAAATAGCATATTCGTGGTTCTTCTGTCAAATCCAGCAGTTAAATTAACAGAAAGCATCATTTCGTAAGACACGTGATCAAATATCAAGGGTATTATAGTCTCTGAATGGTTTACCAAGCACCTCCCCCCTCCACCACCCCATCACCTGTGCCACCGCCATGGCTGCCGTTGCTCTTGCTTCTCCTCACGATAATAAGCAGCATGACTACAAGGATGATTTCTTTGTGAGCCTGGGTCTGGCTGTGAGGACTCTAAGGAAAGACCTCCCTCTGCTCTTCGACAAAGACCTCAAATTTTTTTTTTTGACATAAAAGGCTAATTACCTGTAAGAAGTATTTAGTGTATTTAGTAGCAGCACTAGCAATCCTAGGCCAGAGATCAGCACACTCCTTCCCAATTGGCCCAGTGATAGCAAATCCTTGATCCCCTTCACTGAAACGAGCCTACCCTTAATCCCCTTCCTCCTTGCCCATCTGAATCTGCCATCTTGGACACTGAGAAGGGCTCGCCTACGACGTAGCGATTGATAGCCAGTGCTGGCAACGAAGGCTTAGGAGGCAATTTCCCAGGTGGGCTGCGCGGCGGGAAGGTTTGCTCCTCTCTCAGGGTTGGAATTGGGGAGGACCCATGAGTAAGAGATATGTGATCTAAGGAAATTGATGATCCCTCGAGTGAGTAATACGGAGAAAAGGTTTAATTGAAACCTAACCTGTATTATTCAGTGTGAAGAAGCTTTCGAGCACCAAATATATCAGAATTTTCAGTCGGGACCTCATAAAGCCAAACTCCTGGTTCAAATTTGACCCCTTTAAAGTGGTTCCTCATAGAAGCCACAATGACTTGAACAAATCTAGTAAAGGCACTTCCCATTGGCTTTTGGTAACGATATTTTGAGAAGCCCACGACCAAGATAACGATAGAGCAAAACATTGCCACAGTTGGAACCGCAAATCCCCAGCTCCAGCCCTTCTTCACTTGCACGTAAACTAGAACTAGAAGAGTAATACCCAAGAGTGCACCCATGTTAATGGCAAAGAAAAACCAATTGAAAAATGAATACTTCTTTTGAGGAATTGGGGAGGACCCAAGGTTGAAGACAACGACGGTTTTGGCACTCATGCTCTCGAAGACAACGACGGATAGCAGAAGGGAGCCTGTTGAGCCTACCCTTGATCCCCTTCACCGAAATGATGTAGAGGTTCTTTGCCCCATTGTTATCGACTTAGTTCATTGTTGTCGTCACCGGAAGACCCAGCGACATCCTGAACTTGTTCCGTAGGAAAGAGCCCATAATGCCCTTGATATTTGGTCGCGCGTCGCACGAGATGATGCTTCCTGTCAAAATTAACTGCTGGATTTGACAGAAGGGCCACAATTATTCTATGTTATTAGATCGAGAGTCAAAACTTTATCGTTAATTATTGGAAGGCTAAAACTTTACCTAAGAAAGTTGGGACTCTTTTCCCTTTAACCGAGCGAACTTCCCTTAATGGTTTAAAGTTTAAACGAAATATTTCAGGTTTTTGAAGAATAAAAGGGCAAATTGGCAACTGACCTGTTGGCATGAAAAAATAAATTACGCAGGCACAGCACAGCACAGCGGAAGCAATTCTAACACGTATAATTCTGACACATATAAAAATATGTGAGAAGATAAGGAAAATAAATACACAAATAAATACTCAATAATTTGCTAATTCAAAATCCAATAATAATAAATATCAACTTATAACGTTTCGCTCACGATCATTCACAACTCTTAACTACGAGACTTTCTCCCAAATTTCAATTATGAGACTTTCTCTCAAATCTATTCTTATAATTCAATTCAACTCTTTAAGTAATAACCTACTAGACTGATAGTATTTATAAACTCCAAACCTTTCTAATACAAATATAATTGTAAACCGAAACTTACTTGGAAATTGATCTTAAATTTCCTAATCCAATATGGAAACTAAATAAACAAGACACAAAAAAAATAGGAAACCAAATACAGCTTAGTTTAATTTCCTACGTGACCGATTAACTGGGCTAGGCTGTCAATTGGCATATGCAAATATGAATCTGTATCTTGAAATAACTTATTTTGGATGCTTGCTCTGAGACTAGCGTACACTCATGGTATGGTTTTTTCGTGCTATTCTATATGGTTTGCCAGGTTTTTGTCTGATAGTATTTGATATCATTGACATAATATTACTAAATTATCTTTTCAAATAATCATGTGACGTTGGTACCGATTAAGCCTGTCAACGGGCCGGGTTCAGGTCGAAATTTATTATCCCAGACCCGAATACTATACGGACCCGGATCTGATCCGTTTACCCAATGGGTCTTTTACTCTATGTTCCGGATCTGAATTCGGATTAGGTCTACCCGAAAATATTTATCAAAACTTATAATTTTCTAATAAAAATAAGAAAAAAATATATTTATAAACTAATTTCTAACTAATACAAAAAAAAACCAAATAAGAAAAGAAAATCAAATTGATTTTACTCAAATACATTATTCTAATCAAATTATATTGATAAATATATATTTTAAATTATTAATTTATTTATATTCGGATCCGGGTCTAATATGGAGCAAAATACTATATTCCGTATTCGACCCGTTTTTATTTGACAAAACGGATTTGGATCCAGGTCCAGGTAACGGAATTAAATCCCTACCCATACGGTCATACCTGTAATAATTTCACGGATTCGGGTCTAAACCCGGACCGTTGACAGGCCTAGTACCGACTTGCAGGAGTATTGAATTAAAGGGTTTCTTGACTTAGGAAGCCTCCAATGGTTGCCAAGCCGGAGCTGAAGGACATTTTAATCCGATACTAAGCAAAAGTATCGAGAACTTAATCTAAAGCATGAGTAGAAGTTGCCAAGTTTGGGAATCCATAAACTACTCTCGGGATAGGGGTAAATTCTACAAAACGGTGCAGTAGTTTCTAACATTTCATGGTAAAGACATTTTCAACCATTAGAAACTAGACAATGCAACAAACACTGCTTCATATATGGTATTAAATAGGACATTCACAAACTAGAAACCGGGTGCTCTATCCTATAGTAATAAAAGTTTGCCACCCACGTAATATGACTATGGGTTAAAAACAAAAAAATTCTTGTGGTATATCTAATACATAGAAAAACCTCTTATAGTTTCAAAACATACAATACGACATCTCATGTTTTGAATTAAATTATAAACTAACAGAATTCGTTAAACTTAACGGAATCCGGTAAATTTAACGAAAAACTTAACGGAATTCGGTAAATTTAACGATAAACTTAATGGAATCTAGTAAGTTTAACAGCCGAAACTGTCATTTTCGTTAACTTTAATGAATTGTATTAGTTTATAATTTAGTTCAAAACATGAGATATCATTTTGTATGTTTTGAAATCACGAAAGGCTTTTTTGTTTTTAACCCCATGGCTGTGAAGAAAAGTCAACTAGCCAGTTTGGCTATTGGTAAATTTCGTTTAGTGCTTTGAACTCCAAAATCTCAATTTAATTGAGTCAAATTGGAAAAGTTTCTATTTGGTCCTTTGAAATACTCTGAAAGTATCAATTTGATCCTCAATAAAAATCTCAATTTGAATTAAAGACTTCAGTTTAGTCACATGAAGTGAGGAGATTTTTTAATTTAGTCTTCCAAATATATAATGCTAGAAAATATAGAATAAATTTTATATACATCATCAGCGTAAATTAACTTTTTTTTTTAATGTAAATTGACTTTAGATAGATGTCATAGCAAGTTTATTATTTTATGAAAATCATTTTATTTTTAATAAACTACTTCTAAAAATAAACCTAGTATATTTCACGAATAATTCTGCAAAAGATTTGTTCTTCTCTTCTAATTTCCTACCCTCTAGCATCTATAACTTCTATTTGACTTTTGCATTATCCAAACCACCAATAGACCTCAACCATCATCGTTTCGTAATTAAAATAAGACTAATAGATATTTTTATGAATGTGGAGGAACTGATGTAAACTAAGAAAATTTTGGAAAAAACTTTTGGATCCAGGGAGGCATGAAATCATGGATCATGTAGGGAAAAGAAATTTTCTCTTCAAGCTATGGAAAGATATACATATTTGTCATTAGATGTAGAGAAAGAAAATTTTGGAGATCTACAAAGGTATGGATTTTGAGATTTGAATTGGGACACGTGATTTTCACTTCAATTTACCATGCTAAAATAAGTGGGAACAGATTGAAGAAAGTGGACAAGTAAATACATTTAAAAAGCAAAAGCATGAAAACAAAGGCAATGGAAGGATAGACCTGTAGGTTTTTCTGGAAATTGATTTTCTTGAGTTTTCATAGTTTTAGTTGAGATAAAGTTCTAAATTTCTAATTCTATTAAGCTGTTGATTTTTTATTTGTACTAAACTCTATTTAATTAATTTCTATGTAATTTAATATTTTAGAAATTTATTTGCATGTATCATAAACTATTTTTAACAATTTTTTTTATCTCACATACATCACTTCAAAAGAATGCTACAATTTTTTTTTTTTCAAAAAATTATCCCAAATAATCTCTTATCCAAATCAGTCGTTCCAAAGTTTTTATGTGCTACCGTCTAGACTACACTTATATCTTTCAAGACCTCCCATTTATAAAAAAGAAAAAAACACTTACATTTTCAGTAATGAAAGAAGCTAAAATTAGTTACCCAACGAGTTACACACCTTCATTAATGAATTGGCACACAATAATGAACCATTGGCATAAAATGAGTTTATACTAATGGTGTATAAAAGATTTATTCAAAAAATATATGGATAAATATTTTGTACACTATTTATATATATATAAACTAGTGGGTTTATTTATACATGCAACATGTGCAAAATATGGAACTCAAATTCAAGTTTGGATGATGTAATGTGTATCCCAATGCACTAACACACGCTATTAGTGTAATGATTAATCCAAAAAATTTATATCACTAATTATAAACAAAGGTTGTGTTTGTCATTTTATGAAGCATGTGGTCATCTTAGGAATTTATACAATAAAATGTATTAGTTTACCAAATTTCAATTTCCAAAAAGTATAGTGAATCAAAAGAGAAAACTACATTATTTAACTAATTTATACTTTCAAATTAATTTTTGAAATAAAATCAGAAAAGAAGCAAAAGAGCACAGTTTTAAAGAGCTTGTACTAGTCAACATTAAAATATTTGAATTTAGTATTATTTAGTTTTTTTAAAGATCAAAATAAATTTAAAAAAGTTGAAAGTTTGACTTGAATCAATTGACTAATGAACTTCCAGTTCATTCAGTTCAGTTATCAATCCTAGTGTAAAAATATTAAATTGAAGGGAATTAGTAGCTGAGTTTTATATTATTCAGCTTATGGTTTTGCTTGTATTAGAGGCTCATTTCCTTGCTTCATTAAATTTTTTTCTTCTATTATTCGTTCATCTTGTTCTTGCCAAAACTCCCCCATCTTAGTCAATTTAGGTTATGTTTTTATTTAGTTTAATTTTGCCTTGCTTTTACCTTCAAATTTTACAATTTTGTTACTCTCACATATATAAGCAAAATACGAATGCATAAGGTGAACTAATGCATAGGTTGGTACACCAAAGTAACTAAAGGAGATTTGATTTTTAAATATTTCTAAAATTTCATTTTCAATATTTTCTTTAAGAGGTGGATAAAGAAAAAAAAAAGAAAGTAAAATGCGTACAGAGAAAATGAAAATTTTGATGGCAAGAAAATGCATGGTAAAAAAAGTAAAAGGGATAGAAATAAATTGGATGAGCAACAGCAAAGAAAATAAATGGAAAAATGAAAAATGAGTCAAGATCCATGAGTCAAGAATATTTGATGAAAAAACATGGGGTCCGTTTGGATTCCTTGTTTTTGTCTCTATTTTTTAAAAACTGTTTTTCACATTCCAAATACTACAGTAAATGTGTATTTCCAAAACAACTCTAAAAATACCATATTCAAACATAATTGGAAAAACTTGTGAAAGACAAAGTGCAACTCTACCAAAACTTCATGGGATTTACTACAATTCACCGTCCTTTTTAGGTCACAGAACCAAAAAGCCACGTTGCTCAGCACATTTTCGGGACTGGCATGACATCATTCACTGACTTCCTTCTGCATCGTGTCAGTCTTTTACCACAAAAACGCTAAAGACAACCATACCATACCATACCATACCGAATTCTTAAGTTTCCTTAAGAAAATGTCAGAAAAAAACCATACCATACTGTATAAGCATCCACCAAGCTATTGACATGCGAAGCTATTGACTACCAAACATTCGAAATTGTACAGAATCTACCAAGCTATTGACTCACGGTGGGCAGCCATTGGCTACCCACCCATCAACTGCTGCTCTCCCAGACCCTAAGACTGCTTTCCCAGCTTTAAATAAGCTGCGCACCTCGCAGCCCATCCATATTACCCCCACAACGAGTGCAATTCCAGCTGCTCCACACAGGATCTGCACACACACACACACACTTATTCCTCTCCCCGGTATTCTCCTCCCTCTCCCGTCTGCTGCGAATAGGGGCATTGGGACCACTAACTGTTAGCTTGCTCAGATTGACCACCATTCTCGTTAATATTTTGCTGTGCACTTGCAGGAGAACTGATGTCAGCTGTAATTTCAATCTTTTCACCATGGAAAATCTTTGCGATCCCCGTAAAGGAAGACCTGCTGGCTGCATTTCCATTTTCGGTTGTAGCCTTTTAACAAGTGAAAGCCAGCAAAACCATGAATCAGCATTTCCTTAGCAACTTGCTCCAGCAACCTCTGCGTCTGAGGACCATCCATTGTAGCCTAAAAAATTATTCCAATCCTTATATTCTAAACGGAATCGATATCAGTCAAAGCAATGACAGATCAACATGTGTTAACATTCAGCAAATATTAACACTACTAACTCATTATGTGCAGAGGCAAATAATGACAAGATAATTCATCATGCATTCCTGAAGCTTGACGGCCGAAACAATGCATGATAATGACAATCTAAACACTTCCAAGTCATTCAAAATAATCATTTGTTGAAATAATAATAATATGTTCCAGAGTGATCGAATTGTGATAAGATCAAGTTATTCCATTTCTTAACCTGTTTTTATGTCACAGTGAAAAGGATGTTGCCTTTGAAATTTGTTTCTACCCATCCTAAACAATCAACAAAAATCTGGTACCTCATATAAAAAAAGTAGTGCTATAAATGGAGAATTGAAAGATTTGAAGCAATGTGTTTTGTTACAGACTGCATATGGCGTAAGGAGTAATTTTTGCCTACCGTAATTGTAAGTGCAATCAATTTATATGTACACAATTTCCAAGTGAATCTACCAAATGATTTCACAAAATTTGCTTGAATAAGAGTCTTCAAGTAGCTCCAAACCTAAGCTGGACCACAGATAAAGTAGGCAATTGTGCCATGATTCATTGATTCTTCACTATGTAAGAATGCATTGCAAAAGCAAATATCTAATTTATTTTACATGATAAGTAATGCAGCATAAGAAATTGATAAAGAAGGTCTAAGTGAGTCAAGATGGTCTTAAAACAACTGAAATTCTGCCTAACTGATAAATTCTTTAAATCTTCCCCTTTTTACATAACAGTACAAATTTTGAGACAGTAACTTACAATCAGCGACTTCACCTCCCTGCACCATGACAGGACGGGAGAGACAATCTTGGAATATGGTAAATCTGATTCAGAATATCACAAAACAATCTTAAAGCAATGCAGAGAATCAAATTAAAATTCCACATCAAATGCAATTAAAAACGTTAAATGTGATCAGAAATGAACCTAGTTTACGACGATTGTCTTCTTCATCAGAAGTGTTGTATTGGGAGTTTGTGGCACAAACTAAGGAAGGAATCCCCTATAACATTCAAAAAAAAAAAAAAAATTTAGACAATTTTCTCACAACCAAGGCTAAAAGTTTCTCCTCAAGAATTCTGGTGGTTGAATTCAATCACCAAGAAAACCAAACACCAGTATAAAACTATAATAATTTAGCAAGATCTTCACTAAAGGAACTTACAATTAAAGATTCAGAATTTCCAAGCTCCGAACATGATGGAACGGCTGAAGATAAAAGATTTGCTATATATTATAAAAAAGAAGAGCAAAAAACGCAGAGAATCAGATATCATCCACATCAAATTATTAAAAGTGTAAAATTGATCGATAATGAACCTCCTTGACCGGCGCATTCTTCAAAAGTGCAACAATGAGCGGACTCTCCGACTTCAGAATCAACTGGGAGAAGGGTCACCATTTCACCGATTCAACCAAACTATCATAACCCTAGGTATGCCTTTCTCAAAGTTGGAAACGAGAGTCTCTGGGGAGAATTGCCAGGGCTTTAGAAATTTGTCTATATGTTGGTTATACTTGATATGCAGTAATAATTGTCCGAAAGATAACCGCCATCAGGCATGTGCCGGAATTGAATACTGAAAACTTATTGGGGGATAATTTCAGAAACCTACCTCGAGGTTTCTGATAATTTAAATTAAGCTTCTCTAAGGTTTGAAACATTACACTTATGTCCCTTAATTTGATAGTTTTAGTAACAAAATCTTAAAATAATATTGATTTGGACAATTTTTTAAATGAATACCCAACAATGCTCTTTTGGAATGAGTTTTAATTTATTTTCCTATACAATTATAAGATTATTTAGTATAATTATAAGGAAAATGTGCCAAAATTTTCATGTACATATTTACTATTTGATAAACAACTATAATAATAATAATTCTATTACTATGATATGATATTTTTGGTGATATTTTATTATGGATTTAGATTTATAAGATAGAAAAGAAAATGTTGAAATAATTCATTTAGAGTTTATAAATTTTTGGAATAGTGGGATTCTCATAATTTAGTAGTACTTTTGGACCATTTTATTTTTTGATTTATTGTTAATTTTAATACAAAAAAATTGGAAACAAAGATCAGCAAAAATATTGGATTACATAGAAAATTAACTTGTCAAAAAAATCACTAGTTCCACATTTGATTATAATAGAAATCTAAAGGCAATAGTAATAGTTCTACAGTTTTATTGGCGAAAATTTTTTAAAAAAGGAATAAGAAGGAAAAAGAATGAAAAAATAATTTTAAAATTCATTCTAAGTATAAGCATACTAAATAAAAGAATTTCATTAAAATATTTAAGGGTAAAATTATCATTTTAAATAATAAGGAAGGTATGTGTAATTTTTTAAATCTCAGGAGAGCTCAGTAAAATTGCCAGAAATCTCAAGGAAGGTTTCTGAAATTATCCCTACTATTAGTGATCAATTGAGGTATAGCTATCTTAATAGGAAATTTGTCAAATTGGTCTCTAATATTTTATAAAAAATGAATGCATTTTTTATCTCTGATAATTTCGAGCGCAAATTCAGAAAACGCAATTTTGTCAAGAAGGTGGAAGAGCGTTTGCAAACTTAGGTCTAGGCTAGAGTTTGATTGTAGCAGGATATTTGGAGCTATCGTGTATGATCGGAGCTGCAAGCATAAGTTAAGGTTTTTGAAAGCTACATATCGATATCTTTACAGCTTTATTCGGATCAAAACATAACCTATATCTCTATAACAAAACATAATCTTTACTGTGCTTTTAGCAAGTATGGTGAAAATATTCCAAAATAGTGAGTCTTTCTCTCTGTGTTTCATTCGTCTCTATTCGCAATAGCGGGAGCAAATAATCACTATTTTGAATTTTAAACATTTGGACAGAAATTAGTCATTATATGTCCAAGTAAGAATCTGTGCAAGCATAATCAGCACAAAGATACTAACAAAAAAAAGGTAATTAATGGAACCTATGCTTAGATATTAGTGAGTAACTATCAAGTAAAATCTCCACAGAAGTTCATCCAATCAGTTAAGCAGATTTGAGAACCTAAAATAACAACTCCAGAGTAACATAATGAACCGCTTGTCCTGTTGCATGGCAAGTGACGATAAACCTTGCATTTTTTTTGAACACCTACTGGAAACCTGTGCTGTTTAATCCTTATCAGTATATGACAAATCCAAGAAATTCCAGGGATTATGGTTTTTCTTGAATAATACTTGTGGCTTATTTCACAACATTGCCAGCTAAATAGCAAGTGCAAATGACCAAAAAAGAGCTGTTCTACCTACTAGATTGGAACTACCAGTGGACGACTGGTAGCCGGATGATCAATATATGCATGCATTGAAAGCTGGCTTTAAAGAAAAAGTACTTCAAGAACCCTAATTCTGATTCTCCAATTCACATACTCCTCTTCATCCAACAAAGTTCCAGTTGGAGGATTAAATGGATACATGGTGAGGTATTACAAACAATGGGGACAGACGCAAAAATAAAAATTAAAATTAAAAAAGAATACGAACAAATGTGGATCTTTTCTTTTTCTTGTAGAAGAGTCGAGAATACAAACAGTTCTACGAAGCATTTGCTGTTCTAAGGACATCCTCTATACATTTCTCAACACCACTGGGATTATCATTGCAGAGTTTGCCCACAACAGAAAGGCAAATGCACTCATTCAGGGTATACCCCATCTTCAGCATACTACCCAAAACAAACAAGGCATCACCCCACTTATCTGCTTCAGAAAGACAGTGAATCAGTCTCTCAAAAGTTTCCTGCCGTGGTCTGCGCCGACTCTCTAGCATATTGCTCAGCCACTCCATCCCCTCAGCAAGAAAGCCTTGCTCAACCAGTCCAACAATGATTGAATCATGACTACAGACAGCGGGTAACACACCCCTTTCTTGCATATCTTTCCAGAGTACTGTACCTTCCTCAACATGCCCCATCTCACAAAGTTTTTCAATTAGCACTGTATACGAGGCAGTTGATGGTTGCAAACCCCTATTTATAAGATCATGTAAAAGCTTTGTTCCCATAGCTATATTACCTTCCTGGCAGAAGCCCTGAATCAGAGAGTTGAATGTGATGACATCACAGGCAACATTTCTCTCAGCCATTTGTTGGAACAAGTCATGAGCTGCTTCTACTTTCCCATTCAAGCAAAGGCCCTTAATCATGGTGTTGTAACTCACAGTGGTCTCACCATAACCAATTTCGCACATTTCCTTAGAAAGCCTCTCAGCTTCTGCTAGATTACCAATCTTAAAATACCCATAAATGAGAGCATTGTATGTATACTCATTAGGAATCATACCCTTTTGTATCATTTCAAGCCACAACCTCCGAGCATCTCCTAGCCATTTCATTTTGCAAAGGCCATGAATCATTGTGGTGTACATTACCCGATCTGGAGCATATCCTCTATCCTTGAGATCATTAAAAACTCGAAAAGCCTCATGTTTCATATTTCTCTTGCATAGCCCATAGATAACTTCCTGATAAGTAAATATACCTGGGGGCTGATTCATCGCAATCATAATGTGCAGTACATCTGACATTCTTGAATAATTCCCACTCTTACTGAATACACGTATCAATTGATTAGAAACGACACTAGAAGGAAAATGACCACCGTTCACAACTTGGCGAAGAAGTTCATAACCCTTCCAAACATTATCATCTATGCAAAAAGCATCAATCAAGTATCCAGTAGTATCCACATCTGCGATAACACCACTTTCGATCATATTCCCATAAACTTTCCAAACAATATCAGCCCTTCTTGCCTGAAGTGCACCCGACAACGCTGAATTCCATGTCTTCAATGTGGGGCAGTAGTTTACCCACTTCAAATAATCAAATACCTCAAGAGCATCCTCAATCAATCCATTTTCACAAAGGCACTCTGCATAACGCTCCAGGTCATTGGGCTCCGGCATAAATCTCATAAAACCAAGGAAATTTTGTGCAATTTTAGCAGCCTTGGCCTCCACAAGTCCATTAAAAATCACAGTACACAAGACAGAATCTGGCAAGAACCCATGTTGAGAACTAATCCAATAGTAAAATCGGAGAGACAGAAATACATTATTTTGGTGCTTCAAGACCTCATTGTAGAAGCTGGGATCAACAAAATTCACAGTTGGAAATTCTGAAAGAATGGTTTCCTCCCATCGGGGTCGGCTGCGGATAATCTTGGATACCGCTTTGGCTATCTCAGTAAAACCCTGCGGTTTAAAGTCATGAATTTTAACCACATTTGCATCTAAATTTTGCACGAATTCTCCATTCCCAGCACTGCTTTTACTGGTATTACTATTGTTTCGGTTTCGGATTTGACTATTAGGATTTTGGAAATGGGTATTCGGGGTCCGGCGGATGCAGAGATTAGTGAAAAATGAAGGAGGCCTTCCCATTCAAATGCTACTAATTCTTCATATACACATTGAAGGGTGTCGTAAATAGCTAATAGTAATATTTCAGCTCAATGAAATAGGTATCTGGAAAAACAATCATTGATAAAAGAAAGAGTACACAAGATTGAAGAAATCAATAGTAGCTTCAATTTCTCCCCCCAAAAAAAAAGAGGAACTTTGAAACTTACATCTCTGGAGTTGATAAATATTGAGCAGGTGGGGAAAATCGTAAAAACCCAGTTCTGAAATTTAAACGACGACTGAATAATAAGGCTATATGGAGAAGCAGTTAATCCGCTGGCTACGGGGGAGCTCTTCACAGCTGGCTACGGAGGAGTTGGAGACTTGAAATTGAAAGAGAAGCTGCAGCCTGCAGGGGGCCAAAGGGCTGAGAGAAGTTATAATGCTAGATGGTGCCCTTAAAGTTTTGTCTATTTAGCAATTAGCACCTATGTTTTAAGTCTTTGGACAATTGGTTCGTGTTTAACTTTAATATGCCCCTAATTTCTCAATGAAATGATTAGAGAAAATTTTGACAAAAAAAAAACGATTAGATAAAAAATGAATTGATTTCTGTTTGTTCTATTTCTTAAACAAAATTATTCTATTTACATCTCATACAAATAAACATATGATTTAGAAAAAGTTGCATTTTGGCACCAAATATTTGGAACAGCTGGTTTTAACCTCTAAAATTTGAATGAAAGCAAATATAGTACCAAATGTTTAAATCTCTTAGTATATTTAGCCCAATTAACCGATTTTAACCAATTGTTATCAGAATCTGTCCATGTGAGTAGCACGTGCGAACGACTAATGTTTGAAAAAAACTAGAAAAAAAAATTGAAAAAAATGTTCGCAGCCATGATCTATAATTAAATAATGCTATTTTTTTAATCTTTACAAAATTTAGCTACTAGCATGTGCTAATCATGTGACTGAATTTCGATAACAATGTATCAAAACTAAACAATTGGACTAAATGTGCTAAAAAATTAGAAGCAATTTATATTTTTTATTTTTTTCTAATTTTTTATAATAATTAGCTACTAGCACATGCTATTCACGTGATTATAATCTGGTAATAATTTGCCAAAACCAGTTAATCGGACTAAATTTACTTACAGATAAAAATATTTGAT